ACACACACACACACACACACACACACACACACACACACACAAACACACACACACACACACACGCTTCACCTGCAGTCGGAGCTGAGACTGAAGCAGAGATGCAGGTATTGCTTGAATTATGAACGCTACACCCCAAACACAATGATGATAAACTACTACTGAAGCCACAGCTGCCCTGGGGCACACTGACAGAAGCGAGGCAACCAGAATGTGCCATCAGCCCCTCCGATCACCACCAACCATTCACGCACAGACTCATTCTAATGTGGGTAAAGTGTCTTGCCTAAGGACACAACCACAGCTAAGCAACACTGAGCTTCTTCACACACTTTTCCTTTTGTTTCTACCCTACCCTACTCTACCCTACCCTACTCTACTCTACTCTACCCTACCCTACCCTACCCTACTCTACTCTACCCTACCCTACCCTACCCCACTCTACTCTACTCTACCCTACCCTACCCTACCCTACTCTACTCTACCCTACCCTACTCTACCCTACCCTACCCTACCCTACTCTACTCTACTCTACTCTACTCTACTCTACCCTACCCTACTCTATTCTACTCTATCCTACCCTACTCTACTCTACTCTACCCTACTATTCTCTACTCTACTCTACTCTACCCTACCCTACTCTACTCCTACTCTACTCTACTCTTCTCTACTCTACCCTACCCTACTCTACTCTACCCTACCCTACTCTACTCTACTCTACCCTACCCTACTCTATTCTACTCTACTCTACTCTACTCTACTCTACCCTACCCTACCTTACCCTACCCTACCCTACCCTACCCTACTCTACTCTACGCTACCCTACCCTACTCTACCCTACCCTACCCTACCCTACTCTACCCTACCCTACTCTACTCTACTCTACCCTACTCTACCCTACCCTACCTTACCCTACCCTACTCTACCCTACCCTACCCTACTCTACCCTACCCTACCCTACCCTACTCTACTCTACCCTACTCTACTCTACTCTACCCTACACTACCCTACTCTACTCTACTCTACCCTACTCTTCTCTACTCTACTCTACTCTACCCTACCCTACCCTACTCTACTCTACCCTACCCTACCCTAAACCCACTCTACTCTACTACCCTACCCTACCCTACTCTACTCTACCCTACCCTACCCTACCCTACTCTACTCTACTCTACTCGACTCTACCCTACCCTACTCTATTCTACTCTACCCTACCCTACCCTACTCTACTCTACTCTACCCTACTCTTCTCTACTCTACTCTACTCTACCCTACCCTACTCTACTCCTACTCTACTCTACTCTTCTCTACTCTACCCTACCCTACTCTACTCTACCCTACCCTACTCTACTCTACTCTACCCTACCCTACTCTATTCTACTCTACTCTACTCTACTCTACTCTACCCTACCCTACCTTACCCTACCCTACTCTACCCTACCCTACCCTACTCTACTCTACCCTACCCTACCCTACTCTACTCTACCCTACCCTACCCTACTCTACTCTACTCTACCCTACCCTACTCTACTCTACTCTACCCTACCCTACTCTATTCTACTCTACTCTACTCTACTCTACTCTACCCTACCCTACCTTACCCTACTCTACTCTACTCTACCCTACCCTACCCTACCCTACCCTACTCTACTCTACCCTACTCTTCTCTACTCTTCTCTACTCTACTCTACTCCTACTCTACTCTACTCTTCTCTACTCTACCCTACTCTACTCTACCCTACCCTACTCTACTCTACCCTACTCTACACTACCCTACCCTACCCTACTCTACTCTACTCTACTCTACCCTACTCTTCTCTACTCGACCCTACTCTACCCTACTCTACTCTACTCTACTCTACTCTACTCTACTCTACTCTACCCTACCCTACTCTACTCTACTCTACTCTACCCTACTCTTCTCTACCCTACTCTACCCTACTCTACCCTACTCTACTCTACTCTACTCTACTCTACCCTACTCTACTCTACTCTACCCTACTCTACTCTACTCTACTCTACCCTACTCTACTCTACTCTACTCAACTCAACTCTAATTGTGTTTCTGTTTGTGTGATGCTAACGACATGAAAACCTCTTGTACTGAAATGTAGTTTTGACCCAGTTCTGAGCCTCAGAATGTTCTGAAGGACCCGGTCTTGAAAGTGGAACAAAGGGGAACAGGAGACAGAGGCCGCGGATACTTTAAATGCTTTAAATTCAGCCAAAAACGTCGACCTCCTTCCAGAAACTGCGAAAACAAACCTGGTTCCAGCCACAGGAAGAGAGAGACCTGGACCCAGTCTGCTCCAGGAGCTCGGTCTCTGTCAGAGCCACGAGAGCGAAGACAAACGGTGTGTCGGAGATTCATACTGAGGCAGTATATCTTTGGATGCTCATTCTCTTCCACAGGTGGTTGCTGGTCTTCCTGGGGTCCAGTCCATACAGCATCAAACACACAAACAGTCAAATATAGATAAAAAGTGTTTGCCATACAAGGTGTTTCGAAAGACTTTCACATTTACTTTAACAGTTGCCAATTCAAGATTACAACCTCAGTCCTGGATCTACAGCCTCAGTCCTGGATCTACAGCCTCAGTCCTGGATCTACAGCCTCAGTCCTGGATCTACAGCCTCAGTCCTGGATCTACAACCTCAGTCCTGGATCTACAGCCTCAGTCCTGGGTCTACAGCCTCAGTCCTGGATCTACAGTCTCAGTCCTGGTTCCTCTCTGATGCAGAAGGGTCTAAGGACAGTGATGATCCAGGACATTTAGGGACATTTATGGACAGTGGTCGTCCTTTTCCCCTGTATGGACCTATAGGATGTGTCTGATCATGTCTTACACATAGGTTTGAGTAGAGGAGCATAGTCAAAAGGGGAGGGGTAAAGTATTTGTATTAAAAAAATCTGATTATTTGTAAATCATCTTACATTTTCAAGAAACCTCAAATTGCTACAGATTCAAACTCAATATAACAAACAATAGAAAGGACACCGCAGAAGTTCCTGGTGACATTCAAAACTCTGGAATAACTGCAGTTTTTATGACTTTTTTATGTTTCACCTCAGAGTATTCACTTTCATTCCATTCATTCACTTTTGAGGAGCGCAGAAGTGAAACGGGGTCAAACGCACTCAAACATATGTGTTTTTGTATCAGGTTCTTTCTCCCAGGTTTTTTTTTCATGAGGTGCAGATGTCGTGCAAGATTATCCTCTACTCTATATACTATACATTACACTATAATGGTATGTGTGTGTGTGTGTGTGTGTGTGTGTGTGTGTGCGTGTGTGTGTGTGTGTGTGTGTGTGTGTGCATTTATAAAGTCTGTTTTGTCCATTGGGCTCGGTTCCTCTTGTTCAGTTCTGTCAGACTGCCCACTAGGACAACAATGTCTGCTCCCACGCCACTGAGACAGAGACTGGAGTCTCTGCTCCAGTCTCTGCTTCAGTTTCTGCTCCAGTCTCTGCTTCAGTCTCTGCCTCAGTCTCTGCTTCAGTCTCTGCTTCAGTCTCTGCTTCAATCTCTGCTTCAGTCTCTGCTCCAGTCTCTGCTCCAGTCTCTGCTTCAGTCTCTGCTCCAGTCTCTGCTCCAGTCTCTGCTCCAGTCTCTGCCTCAGTCTCTGCTCCAGTCTCTGCTTCAGTCTCTGCCTCAGTCTCTGCTCCAGTCTCTGCTTCAATCTCTGCTTCAGTCTCTGCTCCAGTCTCTGCTTCAGTCTCTGCTCCAGTCTCTGCTTCAGTCTCTGCCTCAGTCTCTGCTCCAGTCTCTGCTTCAGTCTCTGCCTCAGTCTCTACTTCAGTCTCTGCCTCAGTCTCTGCTTCAGTCTCTGCTTCAGTCTCTGCTTCAATCTCTGCTTCAGTCTCTGCTCCAGTCTCTGCTCCAGTCTCTGCTTCAGTCTCTGCCTCAGTCTCTGCTTCAGTCTCTGCTCCAGTCTCTGCTTCAGTCTCTGCTTCAGTCTCTGCTCCAGTCTCTGCCTCAGTCTCTGCTTCAGTCTCTGCTTCAGTCTCTGCTCCAGTCTCTGCCTCAGTCTCTGCTTCAGTCTCTGCTCCAGTCTCTGCTTCAGTCTCTGCTTCAGTCTCTGCTCCAGTCTCTGCCTCAGTCTCTGCTCCAGTCTCTGATCCAGTCTCTGCTCCAGTCTCTGCTTCAGTCTCTGCCTCAGTCTCTGCTTCAGTCTCTGCTTCAGTCTCTGCTTCAGTCTCTGCGCCAGTCTCTGCTTCAGTCTCTGCTCCAGTCTCTGCTCCAGTCTCTGCCTCAGTCTCTGCTTCAGTCTCTGCTTCAGTGTCTGCCTCAGTCTCTGCTTCAATCTCTGCTTCAATCTCTGCTTCAGTCTCTGCTCCAGTCTCTGCTCCAGTCTCTGCTTCAGTCTCTGCCTCAGTCTCTGCTTCAGTCTCTGCTTCAATCTCTGCTTCAGTCTCTGCTTCAATCTCTGCTTCAGTCTCTGCCTCAGTCTCTGCTTCAGTCACTGCCCCAGTCTCTGCCTCGGTCGTATCAGTGGATTCACCAGCAACAAATCAGAGAATTGAACAGTCCAAACACAGGAAATGCAGCCTGTGGAAACTTAATCTTTGGTGGACGACCTGAGGCAGCCCATCTCATCCAGGCCGGCCTTCTTACCTTCGGCCTATCGCATAGCAAAGCCTATTCCCTGCCGACCCATGCCAGCCAAGCCAGCAGCCTAAAAGCAGAAACTCCCACATCACAGCCCTTTCAAGTCTCGCAACCACCGCCTCCCCATCTCCACCTCAACCTTTGTGCGCCCGCTCTCTCCCCTGTTCGCCTGGACGCCACCACCAGTACCCAGGATTTTAAGCACGCACAATCAATGAGCTTCGCAGACTAAGTGCCGCTACCAGGGCCAAGGGTGCCAAACAATCAATGAATAATACATTCAAATGCATTTTATGTCTTGTAGTCTTTCCAGATTGAACGGCAATAATAACAAACCCATGAGAGCCTTTGGTCCATAGTCACCCTAACCCTGTCCTTGGACCTTCTTGCTTCAGCGAAAGTCTGAGGCTGTAGATTGAAATGATGCAGGACTGGAGTGATTTTTGCGGCCTGTGCTGTTCTGGGGCTCATCTCGGAGGCCGTGGAGGACTGTTGTGACCAAAACTGGACGGAGCACATGGTTCGGGGCTTCATATGTCCAGCGTCAGAACGAGACAATGTGTGCGTTGGTGCTTTGGTGTCCGAATCCTGTGCCTGTTGAGGGGCCTGCTGATGTGTGTGTTTGGAGTCCATAATTCTGACATTGGCACTGCGTCCTACAATCCTGTGGTCTGGAAGTTTCTGTTTATTTCCCGTGTTTCGGTCTGAGGAGTTGGGTTTCCAGTGATTCGCCGCTTGTCTACCTGCTGCGTACAGTCCAGGCTGCCGCAGGATCACCGATTCTTCAGTTTTTGGAAATTGGGGGAACCTGGGACTTTGGAACAGTCTATGTGTAAGTGGTGTATTATTTAAATTGTAGACATGAGCATATTTCTTGTTAAAGGGGGAAGTATGTGAGGGACTTTGTAGTATAAGATAGATAGATACAGACACACTAATGATCCCTGAAGAAGAAATTCAAGTGTCCAGAAGCAGAAAACATCCATAGAAACACATAAGTACATCCATAATAAACATTTCTGACTAACTACACAACTATACCAGTGTGTGTGCAACCATGTGACCCATGTTTCGAGGGCTTTGTTCTCTATAAATAAAGTGGGACCTGGCTGTTTTGAGTGAATCTCCAACTTCTCTTTTCTCCCGTTTGGTTCGCTACAATTGTATAATGCCTTTTGGGAGCTGTTTCTGCATGCCACCTTTAGGCAAGTCTATTTCCAAATACTTCTCACATAGTTGGCTTCAGTCCTGAGTCCAAATCATTCTCTAACATTAGTGTAGAGCTGCAGACTCGTGTTACTCCAGCCTCTACAGTTACATGAGCCAGTGTTAGAGCACGCCATTCCTCTGGTTTGATGGAAATGTTTTGTACCTGACAGAAAGATGGGCTCTGGATGGTGGAGCTGAATGCATTAGGGTTTGGATCCTGGACACAGTGAGACCTGGTTCTTCAGATGTGCTGCCAATAACCTCCTCTGCCACGGTAAAGTGATCCTCTCTGAGCCTCAGGGAGAAGCACATGTTTTTATAACCAAATCTCCATCGTCAAAGTCTGAATTGATGCAGATAATATTCTCGTTGTCCTGGTGACTATTGACGGTGCTTTAAATATTGCAGCATGATGGTTGCAGCAGAGAGAAAAGCGACGTTTCTCAAGCTGCTGGTCCTGGACTCGTTCAGAACAATCTCAGCTTAGAGTGAATGGCAGCAGTTAGCAGTTAGCAGTTAGCAGTTAGCATATAGCAGCCTTTCAACGAACAGATTTTCGGTCCTGTTTACAAAAAAAGTCAAATTCAACAGTTTTAGCTCTGAGGCGACAGGTGCTCAGTTGGTAGAGTATTGGCCTTTGAGCCAGAAGGTCGTAGGTTCGAGCCCACATCAAGACCTTGTCCATCGACTTCCACTGTCTGCTGCATATTAATATTAACAATACAGATGTTAAGATCACTTTGATAACCTAACAAGGTGACTCAAAAAGAATTGTTGTGGTTGCAGGAGGTTGGAGGAGGTTGGAGGAGGTTGGGGAGGTGCCCACAGTTCACCTCCATAACTCTTCCCCAAAGTGAACTCACGCTTCTGAAATCCTGTCAGCGGAGTCCAGCTGAGGCGAGGAAACCATAAAACCAAGAAGAGCTCCACCTCCTCCTCCTCCTCCTCCACCTCCTCCTGTGTCTGCAGCGAGATGAAAACCCACCTGAACAAACCAAAGACCCGCGAGTTATGGCCTCAGACACTTTCCCACAGACTTCCTCCTGCTCTTCACAGACATCCAGCTCCTTCCTGTCCTACATTTCAAATTTATCTTCCTTTTTCAGAGAATTCCTGGGAATGTGACCGGAGCGAGCGGAACAGAGGAATTTGATGTTTATCACATGTAGGAAACAGGAGTGTGATGGGGTCAGCAAGGACTGGGCTCTTTCTCCGTCTACAGCCGTTTCCTCGACTCTAGTCTAGGCCTGTTATTAGATACATAGATAGATAGATATTTGTTCAATTGTTAATTTCACAGTCATGAAGCTTAAGCTCAAATTCAGACTAGAAACTCAGACTTCTGCAGGAGCTGCTTTGGAGCTGAAAGACCTCACTCAAGGGAGGGGAGCACAGGTACATATAGACACACAGAGAAACAGGTATATACAGTAGAGACACAGGTACATATAGACACACAGAGACACAGGTACATATAGACACACAGAGACACACAGGTACATATAGACACAGAGACACAGGTACATATAGACACACAGAGACACAGGTACATATAGACACACAGAGACACACAGGTACATATAGACACAGAGACACAGGTACATATAGACACAGAGAGACACAGGTACATATAGACACAGAGAGACACAGGTACGTATAGACACAGAGAGACACAGGTACATATAGAGACAGAGAGACACAGGTACATATAGACACACAGAGACACAGGTACACATAGACACAGAGAGACACAGGTACATATAGACACAGAGAGACACAGGTACATATAGACACAGAGAGACACAGGTACATATGGACACAGGTACATATAGACACAGAGAGACACAGGTACATATAGAGACAGAGAGACACAGGTACACATAGACACAGAGAGACACAGGTACATATAGACACAGAGAGACACAGGTACATATACACACAGAGAGACACAGGTACACATAGACACAGAGACACAGGTACATACAGACACAGAGAGACACAGGTACATACAGACACAGGTGAAAAACATGAGTGCGGGGCAGACAATCTACCAGGGGACCAGGACAGGAAGTTCAAACTAAACTAAAACCACAGAGAAATTAGATACAATTGTCTCTGCTCTGGTTCAGGGTGAAGTTCTCAATGCTTTCTCTGCTTGGTTGGATCATTGGATCAGTGTAGAACCATAAACACTGTACTGCAGAAACTTTTACAGCCAGAAAGAAGCAAGAACGATAATGATTGCAAAACACAAAACAAAATCTGTTTCAGTGGTACTTAGCATTTGCTGAAGTTTCCAGCGATTTTCAGAAGTAAATCCTGCCCCGGCTGGTGGGTGCCTTCTCGGCCCTTTCGGTCCTGGATCTGTGTGTCTTTAGGGCCTGGTTCTCACAGCAGCAGTGAGAGTGAGCGATGCAGAAGAGGAAGGACATTCACAACACGACGTTCTCTCTTTTCTCTTTGTAGATCCTCAACCTCAGCGTGACCTCAACAACAGCTACTACTTTGCTCTGCACCACCCACAAAGAACTTCAAGAGCTGGGAAAACACTGACCCAACACCCTCCGACCACACCATCCATCATCTCTCTGCACGGAGCTGTTTGAAGTCTGGGCAGGAGCATTTCAAGTGGACTTTTTTTAATGTGAATAAACAAATAGTGTTGAAGGAGGCCTGATATTGTCTGTAAAAGTAACAGTGAAACATACGGAGCTCTGGGCCTGGATCCAGCTGCTCTGAGATAAGACAGAGGTGAGAGAGAGAGAGAGAAAGAGAGAGAGAGAGAGAGAGAGAGAGAGAGAGAGAGAGAGAGAGAGAGAGAGAGAGAGAGAGAGAGACAGAGAGAGAGAGAGAGAGGGAGAGGGAGAGGGAGAGAGAGACAGAGAGAGAGAGAGAGAGAGACAGAGAGAGAGAGAGAGAGAGAGGGAAAGAGAGAGAGACAGAGACAAAGAGGGAGGGAGAGAGAGAGAGAGAGAGAGAGAGAGAGAGAGAGAGAGAGGGAGAGACAGAGAGAGAGAGACAGAGGCTGTATCCGAATGTCCACACTATACCCTATTCACTCACTCACTATATAGTTCGGGACTATATAGCGACTGAGTGAGTGAGTCAGTGCACTCATTCTGTTGGCGATTCGGACAGCTGCACACTATTTTTAGCCGCGGCCCACATCACACCCCTGTCACATGTCATTGGATCAATATAATTTTATATATAAATAAAAGTATATTAAAATATCAATATTTGTCTAATATACATGTATAAAATGTTTTTACAATTTATATTCATATTTATGAATTTTGGTTGACTTATTTGCTTAACGTCTTTCATATTTTCGCCACCTGACCAGCTCCTCTAACACTGGTGAAATGGCACCTCCACTGAATTTTGCGGTGTTTTTGTTAACAATTATAAAACTTCTCATAATGCGAATTAAAAACCGCCGAACAGAGAGAAGGCGAAGACAGGCGATGAGGCGGAGGAGGAGAATGGCTCTTCGTTCATTAGCAGGGCGTCGTGTAAGTATTGTATTCGTCCTTTGTCTATATAGCATTAGCACCATCTACTGGGGGTAAATTATAGTACTTTTGGTGTACTTACTAATTAAAAATACTATTCTCAGTCAATGAGAAACACATTAGTCATATACATTTAGACATATTTCAACAAGAAAACACATTGTATAGACACACTCACTTAAAATGCAAGAACATTAAAATATTTTATTGGTTGAAAGAACACAAAACCATAGCAAGGGAAATGGATTAAGTACTCATTTTTTCTAAATGAAAAATGAGTACTTAATCATTAAACAATAATAGAATTTGCGTGGCCATGGGGCACAGGGCTTCTGTGATTTTTTTTGTGTGTTATTAGGTGCGAGTGATGTAGTGAGGGTTTCTACTTCAGTTGTCTCAGGGCAGCTCCAGCTCCCTGCAACACACAATACATTTGGCAAAATCAATGCCAGGGCACAAAAGAACATGACTTCAGCTATATACTCTTCATTTTTATTTACATTTTTAAATCTCAAAATGAAAAATGAGTACTTATTCCTGTGTCTGCACTCATAACTAAAAGTGCAGATACAGAATTAAAAAAATGAATCTAGAAGCATCATATTAAGTTTAAGAGAATTTTTGTTTTGTTTTAGGGTGTACCACCGGTGTACTGCCGACTGAACCACCATGTACCCCTACTCAGCATGTACTTAAATGGCCAGTCTGACCTTCGCCCCGATTTTCGTCTCACTCGAATCACCCGTCTGGTTAGCCACCTGAGGAGTGCACATCACCAGGGCTGGAGCCAGGACATGGAGGTTTTGGTCTTCCTCTTTTGGTTGGCCAGTGGCACCGCGTACCGTGTTGTCGCCAGGGCATTTGACATGCCCCAGTCCACAGTCCACGATGTGATCCACAGGGTGGCCAACCAGATCCTTCAAATGCGTGGCCAAATAATTCATTTCCCTTCCCCAAGTTGCAGCTGGGTTTCAGTTGGTGGCTGGATCAGCTGCTCTCAATAATGTTGTGGGGAGCATCGACGGCTGCCACATCAGAATAAAGCCCCTTCAAGAGAATGCACAGTGTTATTTTAACCGGAAATTGTTTTATTCCATTCAAATGCAGGCTGTGTGTAATCACCGTGGCTTATTTATTGATTTGTTTGTTGGCTACCCCGGATCTGTGCACGATTCTCGAGTGCTTAAAAACAGCCCCCTCTACGTCCACCGGCTCTATCCCCCAAATGGACACGTCCTCCTTGGGGATGGGGGTTACCCTTGCCTCCGTCAGCCCATCACACTCCTCCCTCCATACAGAGAGCCTGTTCGGAGCCCAGTGGAAGCCCGCTTCAACCGGCACCATGCACGGGCACGATCTGTAACAGAAAGAGCGTTTGACATGATGAAGGCAAGATGGCGATCCATTTTTTTCAAGGCACTGGAAGTCCAACCCACCTTTGCAGTCGAGGTGACTGCCTGTTGCGCCATCCTGCACAACATCTGCGTCAGCGATGGTGATCTCTGGGAGCCAGTGGAAGAGGAGCCAGGGCCTGATGATGAGCAGGACCAGCATCAGCAGCACCAGCCTGATCAGCTGGGTGGACAGGAGCTGCGTGG